AGCAAAGACGGAAGGAAACGGGGAACAGATCAGAGGTGGGCGGGCGGGGTCCGGAGGAGGAAGAGGAGGAGACAACGGAGAGGAGCAGGCAAGGACAGCAGCAGGAAGAGGAGGGGTAGAAAGAGGGGAGCATACCTCAGCAAGGGCAGCAACTGAGAGGGAAGCCCCCGCTTCCCTCTCCATAGCAGGAACAGGGGGCGCAAACCTGCCCCCTGAAAAAAAAAGAAACCTCCATAGCAGGAACAGGGGGCGCAACCACCGAAATGGGAGGGGAAGGAGTGAGAGAGGCAGAAGTAGGGACCGAGGAAGAAAGCGAAACCTTCTTACCCGCCGGGGAGGAGGAAGGAGAGGAGCCAGGTTTACGCTTCTGACGTAAAGAGACAGGAGTTCCAGCAACTACGTACTGGGCAACGGATTCTAGCGTCTCAACAGGAGAAGCTGAACGAGAGCACACATGACAATAGTTTGGAGAGCGATGGACATCAGCCCGCACCGACAGGCGGCAGGGAGAGTCAAGAGACGGATGGGAAGGAGGAACGGAGGGAGACGAGGAAGAAGACACAGGAGACACGACAGACCGGGTAGAAGGAAGGGGAACCCCAGACAGAAGACCAGGAGGAGGATCCTTCGGGAGAGAACCCGAAGGAACAGAGGAGGGGGCAGTGGGCGCATCAGGGTCCAAGGCCCGGAAATGGTTGCGAGTCTGAGGAAGGCGGGAAGGACGAGGAGAGGAAGAGCGCAACACGCGAGCATAAGAGATATTAGCATAAGGCGGGAGCCGGCGAACCTGGCGTCTCGCCTCAGGAAAAGATAAACGCTCCCGGTGCTACAAGTTGAGGACGGCTGCCTCAAGCTTGTAATGGACACACGCACGGGAGAAGGCAGGATGGGCCTCACCGCAGTTGAGGCAACGAGCCTGGGGAGAAGTGCACTCCGACTTAGAGTGACCTTCGCCACCACACAAAGGACAGAGAGAGACGGTCCCAGAACAGCGGAGGGCACCATGCCCAAACCTCCAGCACTTGTTGCAGAGCCGAGGAGAAGGAATGTACTCCTGGACAGAGCACCTGGCACCAGCAAGAATGACAGAGGGTGGAAGGGTCCTACCATCAAAGGTAATCTTCACAACCCGGAGGGGTTGACGGCGACTACCACGAGGGGGACGAGTAAACGTGTCCACCTGGAGAATAGAATGGCCCTGGGCAGCAAGGATATGTCGAATATCGTCGTGGCAGTCGCGCAGGTCCCGAACACCGGTCGCAACATGGGGCGGGAGCAAAATAGTGCCAACACTGGCATTCAACTGAGCGTGCTTCGAGACCCGAACAGGGGTCTCGCCAAGGCAGGATAAGGCAGCCAAGCGGGAAGCAGCATCCTGAGAAGGAGCAGCAACGACACGTTTACCGAGACGAGTGGGGTTGAAAGTAATGGAGGCATCCACGGAATCAACGAGATGTCGATGGAGGGAGAAATCGTCAGGAGGCGCAGAATCAAGAGGGAGGAGATCAAAATATTTGGCCCACGAAGCGGGACTAAACAAGGCTTGATAGGTAGCAGAACTGGAAGGAATCGAGCGAGGGTGGCCGTGACGAGGACGGCGGTGAGAACCCCCAGAGAGAGAGGGGTCAAAAGGCGCAGTAGTTACAACTAGAGAAGGAGCCGTGCCAGGGGATGAGGTAGTCACCACTGGGGGCTTGGGGCTCGACCCAACCACAGAGGAGGGAGGGGAGCCAGGGGAAGGAGTCAGAGAGGCCAAAGGAGGAGCAAGGTCGGGGCCCAATGTAGCGGAGGCTACAGAGCCCGGTCTTCCAATACGGACCGACTCGGGGGCTTGGTCGCCCACCCCACGAGCCTGAGAAGGTAAACCAGAAGCAGCCGAAACAGGGGTTATCATCATTACGAAAAGAAGAATTCATTCACGAATGTGCCCCCACACCCACCATGGAGCCACAATTAGAGGCAGGACACCCAACAAGAAGCTATCGCCGATCTTGCCGGGGCCTCCTAGGGGTGCGTCGTGAGTATACGCCCCACAAACGCCACCTTAAGAAACCGACAGTCCGTCGAGATCGGGTTCAGTGACGAAAGGGGGATTGACAATAAAAGGTTCCCCTCGCTCTCGAGCTCTCGACGTCGGGTACTACAGTTCTACGGGTGCAAGAGTATGCCTCCTCAAGCACCCGGGCGTCAAAATAGAAGAAGTCCAAGGAAAGAACCAGAACGAGCAAAAGGTCGGCAGGAAACGGCAAGCAGATAGGAGAAGAGGGGGGAGAAAAACGAAACAGAAGGAAAAGGAAAAAATGCCCAGCAGAATTGGAGAGGACGGCAGCAGGAGCACAAGGCTAGAAAAGGACAGAGGACTGTCCCAAGGAGCATCACACTCCGACAGCCGCCCACTAAGCCCCCACACGGCGACAACGAGCTGAGCGGGGAGGGGGCCAGGTAAATAGAAAGAATGCCTTAACCACTACACCACTGGGTGATGTCTTGCGAGTACTGCCTCTCTTCTTATCTTTCTCCCCATAAACCATTCTTTCCTTGTAATGAAAACTATTGCTTACGGATTTATAAAGCATTTCCTCTCCTGGTCCTGGACAGTATTGCCTCTCCTGGTCCTGGACAGTATTGCCTCTCCTGGTCCTGGACAGTATTGCCTCTCCTGGTCCTGGACAGTATTGCCTCTCCTGGTCCTGGACAGTATTGCCTCTCCTGGTCCTGGACAATATTGCCTCTCCTGGTCCTGGACCATATTGCCTCTCCTGGTCCTGGACAGTATTGCCTCTCCTGGTCCTGGACAGTATTGCCTCTCCTGGTCCTGGACAGTATTGCCTCTCCTGGTCCTGGACAGTATTGCCTCTCCTGGTCCTGGACAGTATTGCCTCTCCTGGTCCTGGACAATATTGCCTCTCCTGGTCCTGGACAATATTGCCTCTCCTGGTCCTGGACAATATTGCCTCTCCTGGTCCTGGACAATATTGCCTCTCCTGGTCCTGGACAATATTGCCTCTCCTGGTCCTGGACAATATTGCCTCTCCTGGTCCTGGACAATATGTCAGGGAAGGGTAGGAGGAGGGAGGAGTGGTGCTGTCAGGTATCCAGACCCGGCCGTGAGGACCACCCGAGGCCAGGTTAACTAACGAGGTCACCTCATCCATGATCTCAGATCCGATAAATTATTGGTTCAGTCGCGGGTGGATGCGACTAGGATATTTCTAATGTAATATGACCGAAGACGATGTCTGGAAATCTTACCACCGCTCTTACCACTGCCCTTGACATGGTCCCTGCCAGAGTCTTTTCCACAGTCCCTGCAACAATCCCTGCCACGGACCCTGGATGTTTTCACCTTTATTGTCTTATCACCTGACCCGGTGCGGGTATAAAATCAACCAGCATTGTAAGATCTCTTCACTTGAGAATGAGCCATGGAGGTTCGAAACGTTGTGCAAATTGTATAAATAAGTGTAATACATTCTATTGTAATTCACTTCTTTTCTTCACCTTAAAATTACGAAAATGAGTTTTGGAAAACTCCTATTTCAGCTAAGCCCTGATGCTAAGAAAATAGTTAGAGGGATAGAAGCCCTAAACCAGAAAATAATAAATACAGAATATGCGGTCATATTCAATGAAACATGTTTGAAAGAAAACCTGCTGCCAGTATACACCAATATTATTATTATATATATATATATATGTCGTACCTAGTAGCCAGAACGCACTTCTATGCCTACTATGCAAGGCCCGATTTGCCTAATAAGCCAAGTTTTCATGAATTAATTGTTCTTCGACTACCTAACCTACCTAACCTAACCTAACTTTTTCGGCTACCTAACCTAACCTTACTTATAAAGATAGGTTAGGTTAGGTAGGGTTGGTTAGGTTCGGTTATATATCTACGTTAATTTTAACTCCAATAAAAAAAAATTGATCTCATACATAATGAAATGGGTAGCTTTATCATTTCATAATAAAATAATTAGAGAAAATATATTGATTCAGGAAAATTTGGCTTATTAGGCAGATCGGGCCTTGCATAGTAGGCCGAGAAGTGCATTCTGGCTACTAGGTACGACATATATATATATAAATATATATATATATATATATATATATATATATATATATATATATATATATATATATATATATATATATATAAGCAGGAGCTATTCCCAGGGCGGACACACCAGCACCCTTACCATCCCGCTAAACACACACCGAAACTACGACGTTGGTACAACGTTTGAACAAGGTTTAACACTTCCTAACCAATTATAACAACCAATATAGCAAGTTGTAACAACGTTCTAATACGTCATAAACACGTTAAGCCAAGATATAACAACTTTATTACAAGTTGTAACAAGCGGAAAATAGAGACAGTTTCGGTTTGTGTTTCCAGGGATGTCATCAAGCCGTCCACTGAGGCCGGCGTCTTGCTGGGTAATTTGTGCAGGTTTACTGTGTTGTCTCAATGATATATTATGAAAATATACATGCATGGGTGTGGTTGGGATATATACATGGGGTGTGGTTGGGATATATACATGGGGTGTGGTTGGGATATGTGCATGGGTGCGGTTGGGATATGTGCATGGGTGTGTTTGGGGTATGTGCATGGGTGCGGTTGGGATATGTGCATGGGTGTGTTTGGGGTATGTGCATGGGTGCGGTTGGGATATGTGCATGGGTGTGTTTGGGGTATGTGCATGGGTGCGGTTGGGATATGTGCATGGGTGTGTTTGGGATATAAGTAAGAGGTGCATGACATGGGCCAATAGACCTTCTGCAGTTTCAGTGATTCTTAAATTGTGTTATATTAGTATCAAAATTAATTGGTTAAAATAAATAACGTTGAACCCGTGTAACATCTCCCCGTCCTTCCTCCAGATGAAGACTGGACCAACATGATGCTGATCTTCCGTGACTTGTATCCGCCAGCGTCTGATATCAGCTTTCTTAATTGACCCGACACAGACGTGTATCTTTTCCGACAGTTTCCAAGACGACGCAGGAGCTGAACTTGTCGTGGAAGCTGGGCGACCCTATCAAGATCTACCGAGGCCTCAAGATGCCGCAGTTCAACATCATAGACAATGAGACAGATCGATGCCACGAAGACTTCCAGATCGGTGAGTACTGCTGCTGCTGCTGCTGCTGCTGCTGCTGGTGCTGGTGCTGCTGCTGGTGCTGGTGCTGCTGCTGCTGAGCACTGCTACTCTAACACTGCTTGCCTAACAGTGTCGACGCCGGAGTGAGGTCTAACTCGTCATGCCCCGCATAGTAGCCCCGTTGTACCTGTTGCATTACAACTTAACTATTTTGACATCGAAATTGAATCTGGCCTTCAAGTTGTGGATGGAGGTGGCTTCCACAACTTCTTTCATCGCATTCCGCGTGTTGACCCCCCCCCACACCCCCGTTCAGGGTACGAGTATTTTCCTCATGCTTTCGGATCATTTGCAAATTTCAGCTTCCAAATGTGTCCTCTTGTCCTGTCTCGCCATGTGAAGAGCCAGTCCTTGTCCTCCTTATCAGCTACCCTCATTATCTTGTATGTCGTAATCATATCCTCTCTGTTCCTTCTATCCTCTCCGGTTGTGAGGTTAGTTCTACTAGCCTATTCTACTAGCTTAAGCAGTCTTAGCTCAGGCACCAATCTTGTTGCAAACCTTTGTAAGTTTTCAATTTTGGCTTTATGGTTCAGTAGTTGCGGCAACCATGCGGTGGTGGTGATTGGTGATGGTGGTGGGTAGTGGTGGTGATTGGTGGCGGTGGTGATTGGTGGCGGTGGTGATTGGTGGCGGTGGTGATTGGTGGTGGCGGTGGTGATTGGTGGTGGCGGTGTTGATTGGTGGTGGCGGTGGTGATTGGTGGCGGCGGTGGGTAGTGGCGGCGATTGGTGGACCAGCCAGAGTACAGGGACGGCGGGTGGATGGCGGGGCCCGGCCAGAGTACGCTACCTGGTATGAGAACCTTTTGCATGTACAATTACTTGGGCAGAAGACATCGCAGTGTTTCTCATTAATAATATAAACCTCATGATTTACGGTGTGAACTATTCATAATCTGAAAACATGCCACTTTTTTCAGAAAACTGCAGATATTCGAGGTGAGCGCGGGTGTTTTGCACTTTATTTTTCGTGTGTTTGCGTGTGAAAGTCGTGCATCATGCTTGTATAGGAGATAGCTTAATCTTCCATATTTATAAGTCAAATCTGTCTATGATAGGTTAAAGGCGAGACGCATGGGGCTAGTCTCATCCATTTTTTTCAATAATTGCGTGTTGGGTACATGCCCAACATTGATTGGAATTAGATTAAGTGAAACAAATGCCACCCGATAACTTGCTAACGGGACCCCCACCTCACGATGAATCTTGCAATATATTAACTGGACTCAGACTTATTAATTTAAGTCCACACACACACACACCTGTTGATTGACGGTTGAGAGGCGGAACCAAAGAGCCAGAGCTCAACCCCCGCAAGCACAAATAGGTGAGTACGCACACAACTAGACACGGGGGAGAGACAATACAAAGATACTCATAAAGAGAGAGAGCCTCCAAGGAGACAGACATTCACAGACACACAACATGAGACTGATAGACAACGACAGATGAAAAGACATCAAAAGACACCACCGGGAACACCATCTAGTTCGATATAAAAAGAATTCCTTACGGTCTATCCCAGAACCGTTCTTACTTGACACCGAGGGAATATTAAATGTTAAAATCTCCACAAATCTCCGGTTAGAAATTTGGTCTGTGCTCGCCTGGCCGTTCTTACCATGAAATTACATTCAGCTCTTGGGCTCTGCTTCGGAATTTTCGTTTCATTTCCCTAGTGGATACTTATACATTCACGCTCTCGCGCACTATAAAGAGCATCATGTCTGTCTAAAGTTGGAGACCAGACGCCTTGGGTTAGCCTCACCCAGTTTGTGCAGGGCCAGTGATCTAGGGTACGGGATAGACACATGCTGGTCGTAGTTGGTATAAGTTAAATACTTTAAGAAATATCAGCCTGTAACCCTTATCTTTCACCCAAACCTCCACAATCCATATAATTTTTATGTAAAGTCTGAAATGAAATCGTGAATGTTTTCCGTAGAGTTTACCGCACATTTGAATGATTTACTGGAAAACGATGAATCATCCGGGTTACAGCGATGAAAATAGGTTAGTGGCGAAAGAAGAGGTGGCACAAGGCGAGATGGGTGTGTGACATGCTGTTTCCCACCTCTCATTCTCCCCATCCCCTTCTCATGCTCCCCCATCCCCTTCTCACGCTCCCCCATCCCCTTCTCACGCTCCCCCATCCCCTTCTCACGCTCCCCCATCCCCTTCTCACGCTCCCCCATCCCCTTCTCACGCTCCCCCATCCCCTTCTCACGCTCCCCCATCCCCTTCTCACGCTCCCCCATCCCCTTCTCACGCTCCCCATCCCATTCTCACGCTCCCCATCCCCTTCTCACGCTCCCCCATCCCCTTCCCACGCTCCCCATCCCATTCTCACGCTCCCCCATCCCCTTCCCATGCTTCCCCATCCCCTACTCATGCCAGCATGTCCCCGAATATCACTATCCTTTCCTATCCACGCCAACTTTCCTTATCTCCCTCACCATTACTTCCTCTCACCTTACCTATTATCTCGTTTTACCCATTACTACTTCTTACCATTAACTATTACATCCTCTAAACGTTCATGTTCTTCCTTTCCCCCCATTACTTTTTACTCCTTTACCGGTCCCCATTACTTCCTCTCGCTTTTCCCCATCACTCTCTCTCGCCCTTCCCCATCACTCTCTCTCGCCCTTCCCCGTTGACGCCCACAAACCCTTCAAGAAAAATTGCTATGAATATTTTCAGACCAATCGATCGGTGATTGAAATAGGCTTTCTGTCATCATTGGACAGGAGGCCGAGGAGAACACGGTGTGTTGCTGTAAGACAGGGGCCCCCAGGAGAACACGGTGTGTTCCTGTAAGACAGGGGCCCCGGGAGAGCACGGTGTGTTCCTGTAAGACAGGGGCCCCAGGAGAGCACGGTGTGTTCCTGTAAGACAGGGGCCCCAGGAGAGCACGGTGTGTTCCTGTAAGACAGGGGCCCCGGGAGCACGGTGTGTTCCTGTAAGACAGGGGCCCCAGGAGAACACGTGTTCCTGTAAGACAGGGGGAGAGCACGGTGTGTTCCTGTAAGACAGGGGCCCCGGGAGAGCACGGTGTGTTCCTGTAAGACAGGGGCCCCAGGAGAGCACGGTGTGTTGCTGTAAGACAGGGGCCCAGGAGAACACGGTGTGTTCCTGTAAGACAGGTGCCCCAGGAGAACACGGTGTGTTGCTGTAAGACAGGGGCCCCAGGAGAGCACGGTGTGTTCCTGTAAGACAGGGGCCCCAGGAGAGCACGGTGTGTTCCTGTAAGACAGGGGCCCCAGGAGAGCACGGTGTGTTCCTGTAAGACAGGTGCCCCAGGAGAACACATTGTGTTCCTGTAAGACAGGGGCCCCAGGAGAACACATTGTGTTCCTGTAAGACAGAGGCCCCAGGAGAACACATTGTGTTCCTGTAAGACAGGGGCCCCAGGAGAACACATTGTGTTCCTGTAAGACAGGGGCCCCAGGAGAACACATTGTGTTCCTGTAAGACAGGGGCCCCAGGAGAACACGGTGTGTTGCTGTAAGACAGGGGCCCCGGGAGAGCACGGTGTGTTCCTGTAAGACAGGGGCCCCAGGAGAACACGGTGTGTTCCTGTAAGACAGGGGCCCCAGGAGAACACGGTGTGTTGCTGTAAGACAGGGGCCCCGGGAGAGCACGGTGTGTTCCTGTAAGACAGGGGCCCCAGGAGAACACGGTGTGTTCCTGTAAGACAAGGGCCCCAGGAGAACACACTGTGCTCCTGTAAGACAGGGGCCCCAGGAGAACACATTGTGTTCCTGTAAGACAGGGGCCCCGGGAGAACACGGTGTGTTCCTGTAAGACAGGGGCCCCAGGAGAGCACGGTGTGTTCCTGTAAGACAGGGGCCCCGGGAGAGCACGGTGTGTTGCTGTAAGACAGGGGCCCAGGAGAACACGGTGTGTTCCTGTAAGACAGGGGCCCCAGGAGAACACAGTGTGTTCCTGTAAGACAGGGGCCCAGGAGAGCACGGTGTGTTCCTGTAAGACAGGGACCCCAGGAGAACACGGTGTGTTCCTGTAAGACAGGGGCCCAGGAGAACACGGTGTGTTGCTGTAAGACAGGGGCCCAGGAGAGCACGGTGTGTTTCTGTAAGACAGGGGCCCAGGAGAGCACGGTGTGTTCCTGTAAGACAGGGGCCCAGGAGAGCACGGTGTGTTCCTGTAAGACAGGGGCCCAGGAGAGCACGGTGTGTTCCTGTAAGACAGGGGACCAGGAGAACACGGTGTGTTGCTGTAAGACAGGGGCCCCAGGAGAACACATTGTGTTCCTGTAAGACAGGGGCCCCAGGAGAACACATTGTGTTCCTGTAAGACAGGGGCCCCAGGAGAGCACGGTGTGTTGCTGTAAGACAGGGGCCCCAGGAGAGCACGGTGTGTTCCTGTAAGACAGGGACCCCAGGAGAACACGGTGTGTTCCTGTAAGACAGGGACCCCAGGAGAACACGGTGTGTTCCTGTAAGACAGGGGCCCCAGGAGAACACGGTGTGTTCCTGTAAGACAGGGGCCCCAGGAGAACACGGTGTGTTCCTGTAAGACAGGGACCCCAGGAGAACACGGTGTGTTCCTGTAAGACAGGGGCCCCAGGAGAACACGGTGTGTTCCTGTAAGACAGGGACCCCAGGAGAACACGGTGTGTTCCTGTAAGACAGGGGCCCCAGGAGAACACGGTGTGTTCCTGTAAGACAGGGGCCCCAGGAGAACACGGTGTGTTCCTGTAAGACATTGGGCCCAGGAGAGCACGGTGTGTTGCTGTAAGACAGGGGCCCCAGGAGAGCACGGTGTGTTGCTGTAAGACAGGGGCCCCAGGAGAACACGGTGTGTTCCTGTAAGATATTGGGCCCAGGAGAGCACGGTGTGTTGCTGTAAGACAGGGGCCCCAGGAGAGCACGGTGTGTTGCTGTAAGACAGGGGCCCCAGGAGAACACGGTGTGTTGCTGTAAGACAGGGACCCCA